ACCATCGAATTACCAATCATTGCCGAGGTTAACAGAATGTCGTTCTCATTTCATTTCTTCATCCGTTTTCTTACCCACTCTTTCATTTCTAGGCAACCTTCAAAGTGAAATAGTTTTCAAATTAAACAAAAAAGCAAACCGCGAGTATTTTCCTAGAAAAACCTTAATCTCATTCATTCAGTGATTGTCTCTACAGTTCTATAGTTAATAACGAGTATTACATGAATACTGAAAAGTTCTTTCTTATGAACAACCGTACGGACTTGAGCACTACTTTCCGTTTATTTCGCACGTTAGTGGTTTTGTATGATATGGTTCTTTCCCCAGACACCCGTGATACTAACTTCACAGCGTATTCAGATTGTCACCGAAGGCACTTACCGTTCTTGTGAATCGAGCCGAGGCTCTCACAGGATTCAGCAAGGATTAAGCGCCTGACACTAGCCGAGCACGGATCGCATGAAGAGGAGACAAACCCCTGCTGTTCTTCACAGCCGGACACGTAAGATAAATAAACAGATATAAATGAAAGCGAATAAATAACGGCAAAGATATAGGATATATATACATGCATATATATATATATATATATATATATATATATATATGAAGATGAGGATTAGGTATTAAAACCATATAGGGAGTACACTTGCAAAAATGGTGCGTATTACTGCTATTCATTCCACTAGTGGTTCACCGGCTTACCGTAGCTATGCGGCGAATTCGATGTTCACTGGAGAGTGAGTTCATTCCTTCAACAGGCCCTCCCATGCTGAGAAGGACATCAATTTTTCCATCCGAAACCACGGTTAACAGAAAATGAAAGTGTCGTTTTTCAACCAATCTAGCCGCAAAGTGGAAAATCTCCTTCCGATTCACAGTGGGCGGCAATCACCCGGGAATGACGAGGTGGGAAAGGCTTAACAGAGGGTTACTTCGAAACTCCAATTACGGAGAACATTATCTAGCAAGAAAACTAGCGGCGAGATGAGAGATGTGTTGGATATTTCAGGATTCATCTTGGAGGTGGGCCGTTAGAATATTCGAATGATTTTGAGTGTTAAAACGGCATGGCAGTAGGAGAGGGTGTAAAGTTCCACGAGATTGCCTTGAAATTTCGTCATTCTTAAGTCATTACTCACAAAAAACCCACAGTACAAAAAATAGGCATCGACCAAGAACGAACGTCTATTGTTTGTGAAATTGGGACACAAGTGAAATTTAATGGATCATCCGTTTTTAATGCACAAGTGCAAATCGCCCGAAGAAAGTGAAAAAAGAATTCAGTTCCATTCAACGATGGAAAATGATATGATATAAAGCACACTTATGTTTTAAGAAATTATAGGGCGACCAATTGTTCAAGCTTAAATAACAACTGATCAGGAAAAAATGAAGCCAGAGATTCGAAAAAGGAAGAAAAAAATAAAGACGGTTCTGAATAACCGTCACTCAGCCTATTCCGGATTGAGCAATCTCATGCCACAAATTGGGAAATCCTGAAAGTTTTCTACCTTTCTGCTGTCGTTATGTTTTTAATATGGTTCAATGTTAGCACAATATTTTATATTTTCAATGCTAACGCCTGAAGCTGGTTTGCCGACAACCAAGGATGATTTCTGGATAACTAGGGCACTTGTGTAGTTACGAACTATGCAGATTTACGGAGGGAGCGTTGTTCTACCGTCTTTGTCGCACATATAATTTTTATATAATGTCCTTGTACGCTTTGAACTAAAAGTACTTATGAAATTCAAAATTATAAAAGGCCCAATCCAAGCACTTCAACCAGAAACATCGGTAAAAAATGAGGAGACCCCATCGCGTCGTGATGAACGAGGCCCAGCTTGTTAAATTGCTTTCGTGTTTGGAATACAAGCCTCGAAGAAAAAAGAAGTGAAAAAAACGCCCCATAGCTTCTGGGAAAACGTGATTTCGCCATATTAACATTTTGCGTCGAAAGACTTGTAGAATCTAATGGTTTTTGTTTGAATTAGTATATTCCACTAGAAGCGAAGACATGTTGGTCTAAGGTTAAGAACATCCATTATTTTCGTATTAATGCATTGTGCCCAATGCAGGTAGGGCATACGGGTTAAAATACTCCTCTACTTATGTGGCTTATTCTTATTCGTTTTTTATTTTACTGCAGTATTATTAAGATCCAGAAGGAAAAAAAAAGACTGTGAATCGTCCTATCGCGCGGTTTCTGAGCGTTTTGCAAACTCCACATCCGCCAAACCGCGGAAAAAACTTGTAAGATGCACCTCAAATATTATTACATTGTGATCTATTTATATCACATTATCATATTGATATTGTGATCTCATACGATATGTGAGCCAGGCGTTTTAGTGTGAGAAAGGAGCACTACCCATCAATGTGAACTACGGGGAGTTGGTCTCTCCGTGAAACACTGACTGGAGGACTCGTAGAAAACGGTGATTGTGTGCAAAGGTTCTTTCATATCCATTGCGATTAAAAATTACGTACCCTGGCTATTTTGTTGAGGTTACGGAGGCGTTTGGATGACTATATTGCAGTCAAATTGACCTTTATAGGCCCTGAAGAGCGCGAAGTCCAGCGAAACGTCAGTTTTTATGAGTTAACAGCATATTAAAAACCTCGTGTGTGATCGTCAAGAAAACAGTGTTAATTATTCGGTACAACTGTACATTTGTTTAGTACTTGTGAAAACATCAAATATCGTTTAGGCAGCGCAGTGTCATCCCATTATATTTAAGAACAGGTAAGTTCAATAAACAGTTAAGAGACCTAAAAGACGTTAAAGGTTACGTTATACACTTCATAAAAGAATTTATCTCAGTATCGCAAACAAAAAGGATGGAAGTGATTTCTTCTAGAAAAGAAAATCAAGAACTTAGTCGTTAGAGGCCTCATGATGAGGACGACGTCCAAATGAAGTGCAGACATCCAGAATTATTCTGGGAAACACCTTTTCCTGCCTCAATGTTCTCCTTGATGAGTGTAAATGAGATTAAAGCATAACCCACTAAAACTAGCGAGTAGTGGAAGTAGTCAATAAACAAACAAAGTGATTTGTATGAACGAAGTTTTTCGACTTAATACTGATGCTACTTGTAATAAGGTCATGGAATTCCAAAAAAAAGAACACGAAAAAAGAAATTTAAAAAGTATGTAGCTTGACGGTATTGCATAAAGAAGGGCGTAAGGCATCACTTAGGTGATTGGCCGACAGCCAACAAATTCGAATTCGATCGCTTCTTCTACGCAAGAACTTTACTGGGAGCCGAACGCCAGTGTGTGAGGAAAAAAACTCGGTTACGCTAAGAAAGAGCTGATTGAACACATGTCGGGTTGGGAGGACTCCTAAGCTGAATCCGATAGTTCAAAAACAAAGCGCCTAAACGGAGTCGTTCAGAAGTTTGAATTAGAATGCTCAAAACGTTTCATTGGCGTAAACCCCAACTTTCCCGTAAAGGAAGAGTTTCATTAGCAGTTCCTAAGAATAGTTGTGTTTGGATTAGAACACTAACGCAATCAACATTTTACTCGTGCTTTCAAATTGACCGATTCGCCATACGACATTGAGTCACATGTTAGTTGACTCGTTTTATGCAGACAATAGTCAAGTAGTTTCTTGTATTCAAAGAAAATTAGGAAAAAATACCGTAGTTTTTAACCCCAACAGTTGCTTTCAAGAATTCCTATCTGGAGTACACTTCAAGACAAAGTTAATCTTTTCAATAAACTGTTGTGATTCTCAGATTCCCAGGTTAAATCAGGACCTACAAAATCGTGGTTCAGAACTAGCATATCCATAAAATTCTGCATATTGGTGAATTGTCTTCTTAATGCTGTTTTTAGAATGAATAAAACAATTTATTGATGTGCTAAGTAGTAAGTTTCCAAATATAGAATACTTAAGTCCTCAAAGATGCTGTGAGCCCCTAAGAAAATCATCCTTCCAGAAATGATCAAAAAAAGAGAAAAAAAATTCCTCAACAACAGGGTGAAATTTTGCTAAAAATATAACATAAGAACTAATAGCGCGTTCGTTCCCCACCGCAGACATCTGCGATCTGGAGTTTTGCAAATATCTCAGTATTATAGAAGTTATATTTCGCAACATACCCTGCCATTAAAAAAATTAGGCAGTGAATAAATAAGGCTAAAATTGTAAGAACTATTATTAATTTTATGTGACCGGCAATGGGCGCGTGTTGCACAGTGGCTAGAGGCGTCCTGCGAAACACATGGGTTTGACCTCGCGCCCAAGGGTTACTTGGCCTTCCATCGCTTCGGGGTTGACAATTTGTAACCAGATCTATCTAGGAAGATAGCAGCACTGGTTCAATACATCGGTAGGTTAGGCAGAGTCATTGTATAGGCCAGATATGCATTAAATCATCTCTAACGCGTTTCATCAATCTCGAGAGCTTTGTCTTTTTTTACACATGGCCCATCATCACATCTACTGCGTTGCTCTCAGCACTTACCACATTCAAATCGTTTTCCACACATTCATTGCCCATAAAAGTCTTCGGATGTTTTGCGTAGTGTTTCGACTACTGCTTGAAATTCTCGTGTTTCTTATGAATGTCGTAGAGCGCTGGTCGAGCCGGTTCTCTTTCCAATCACGAGAATAGTCCGGTTAAGGCGTTCACACGTGAAATGAGTGAAGGCGTTGGGTAGGGGATCGGACTAGCGCCCTGCTTCATGATGGACTATATCGCTGACCACTCCGCTTCCCACCTGCGACTACACTATAAGAAAAGAAACCGTCCTGTAATTGGGCCACTAGCAGTCTACCCACTAGTAGTAAAAAACTGGACTAAAAACGGATTCACTTATTTCTATCAATTAAGCAACGGAAGAAATAAAAAGTCTACTTTACAACTATGTGAAAAGAAGTTTCGAGGTACAGAAACCACGCGAGTCGAAACCTCAATGTGGACAAGAAAATGCTACTAGCTATCGAGGATGGCAATGACATGAAGATGTGACTATATATGAAGATGCGTTTACTATCAGATCTAAAACTTAGCGCACTACTGGCATTCAGTGAAACAACATTGGCACGGAAAGTAGAACGAGCCAACGGAGACGGTCTGGAAGTGAGACGTACGGACTGCCGACCATCGCCGTGCCTGTCACGGTGTCCTTTATCCATTGTCAAGTACAACTGTTATAAAAACAAAGCCCTTACTATTTTTCAATGACAAGCCAACATGAGGTTTATAAAAAAATTTAGTCGGTTAACGTTGGGCGCCTTGGTCTTTTTCAGAGATGGATTAAACCATGTCGATTGCCCACAGTCATTCGTCCGCACGTTTTGGCTCTCCGTAGTTGTTCGAGTCGAACCTTCTTGTGTTGAACGCTGCTCGAATGGAGTAAGCCCACACGGCTGTGTCTTTTTATACAGAATGTTTGTTGATACTGATTGTCAGTTGATAATCGTTTGTTTTTCTCCGAACATTCCATCCTGCAGTGGTCAGTATCATTATCAGCTAGCACAGAGCGTAACATTCGAGCGGTGATTCACTCAGGAAGACTGGATTCGAACGACAACGAAGACTCACAACTCGTGGATGAACGACTGTAGACAGTCCTCTCGGATCAACACGGCTCTAAAGAAGACGAAGGCAAAACAATATTTTAATAAACTTCGTGTTAATATCAATGACAAATACATGTCGATTAGTCCTGGCGAGGTTAAAAAACTTAATCCTATCCTATTAAAACCAATAAACTTTACAAGCGAATAAACCTTTTTTTATCAAATCCGTGTTGGCTTATCGATGAAAGAATAGACATCTATTCAGCGATTTTATACCTATCTGCCACCATTATTCCTCGTATCATCCTTAAAGTGTTTTAAAAAAGTCTTATTTTAGATCTATAATAGACTAGAAGCAAGCAAAGGGATTTGTTCTGACGAGATTAGCATGGGACCAATTAGAGTGGATTCGTAAATGTCGGAAAAAGTAACGAGGTTATCATTCGGAAAAAATAGCTGTCAGTACCGAAATAAACAGATTTTAGAGGAAGAGAAAGAGCGAAGAGAAGGGCAAGCCGTGTTGTGTCGAAGCAAGAGACGGCTTCCAGGTGTTGGCTAGGCCGTGGGTCGCGCTCGAACGTCTTCCGGCGTTCTCCGGGTGGTTCGTGCTAGACTCGGGAAAAGCCGCCTGTGACGGCGGAAGGTCACGCTGTGCGGACGCCGTCCGTCCGCTCCGTCGGTCATCCATCCAGAGTGGGCGTGGCTATCCATGCCAAATTCAAACGCTGCGGCGGGTGCGGCGCCATCTGGCGCTTGTACTCACTGGCGACGACGTCGACTTACACGCCACCAGCTGCGGCCGACATTTGAAATTTGACGCAAAATCACACCTCGGTAGTGATCGAACGATGTCGTAAACGAATGCCGAATTAATGGGGAACTGGTTTAGTCTTCAGTGGGACCAATGAGATAATGATTTCCATAACAAATGTGAAAAAATTGAGATTTTAGGCCAAAACGATGTAAATGGAGAAACACTGTTGGATAATTATAATCTGTTTGAAAGGTTGCAAAAATATACCAAATAGTTGATGGGCAGTTAAGCACAATATATCTTACACAGTGCATAAAATAATTGATAATTACTAAATCAATAACTTATTATTAAAGTGAATAGAACATCATAGCAGCTTAAGATTTCTAATCGACAGTCGATGCTTAGGTTTCATTTTTTCTACAGCAGAAAAAGTGAAAGGAAAAGGGTGAGGAAAAAGTTATTCCTCATTTCTTCCGTTTTTTTCCACATTTGTCGTTCGTTAACAAGCTGCGAAGACAAGAGCATTTCGCCACTATTACATCTTCGTCGTTGTTTTTTCATCGCCAAGAGTAGCCAATGAATGACTGAATTTCATTATTAGAATAAGCAATCGTACAGAAAATCATTTTAATCGATTAGACCTCAAGCATACATTGATCCCATTTTCGCTAACTGGTTTTTATGACTCCTAAAGAGACTTATTTTATAGAACGATAGGTCACCGTAGGTCGTTCTATAGGCAAAGTGGCTAATCAATCACCTATGAAAAGCTAAATGGAGTCGAATTTACGGTGCATTCTTCAGGAATTAATCAACACCAACCGCTTTATCCTTTTTTGTTCCTAATGACCAACGTCTTAAGTTTCTTCCAACGTCAACCTATGAACATCGCCGACCAACCGTTCCACTCTTAAATTGGAGTGCAGGTGGTAACAGTTGGCTAAAAGATAACCGTCACCAGGTAATTCTTACACTGCTAAGATATTGAGCAATTATTGAAGTAAAACTTAAAACCAAACAAATAAATATATCCATATTGATGCTAAGATATTTGCAAAACTCGAGAGCCGAAGGTATCTGCTGTGGGGAACGAACGCGCTATTGTTCTTTCCGGGGAGTAACGCGTTCACCACCACACCATACGAGTCCTTCATTTTGCCTTTCATTCAGCGTATTATTGACCTATAGGTGCTATCAGCAATTACCTGTGAACAGGATTGATCTGGGGAGAACAAATCGGCATTGAACCTAATTAAGGTGAAGCTGTGGTGTAAGTCGCAATCTCGTCACAAATAAATATATTTCTATTGTAGGCATCTCTCCCCGTCCGAAAAATGCATTTTTCTGTAGACGAACTTACTATTAGTTAGCGCAGAGTGTTTGATGGGTAAAAAGTCACAATAGGATGAAAACATCAGAGATAAAACAAATTTAAATTAACAAAGACTAAAGCAACAATTGAATTAGTAAAAGCAAAAAAGATACACAAAAACGTTATTACAGATGTTATCCTTGAGATATCAACTGTTTCCATTGAAAGCGAATTATCAACAACTTGAGGTGGGATCGGTCAGGCAGTCGGTTAAGGAGGCCCTGTTCTGACCTCTTGAGTGCTTCATGCTCATCTATCACTGTCACACAGAAACGGCTAGACCCTAGATCTGATTGAATATGGAGACGAAGCTCACAGTGAATAAGTTGTACATGTTCCTGCAGAATGTTAAGGGTTTCGGGGGCCAATATTAGTAGATTTCTTTTTGCAAGAACACAGTCACTACTTAGCAAACAGAAGTGATCTGAATGAAAGGTGCAACGGAATTGTTCAATTTCTTACAAGAGAGTATCATCCAATGCGAAAGCATTACCTTTCAAAATATTTAGCAGTACTGGATGCTTCGGTGAATTGTAAGCACAAAGGAGAAACTTTTACGTCAGCTACGGTTTTTCCTCCGAAATATACTGTTATTGCAGATGAACACAGTCACAAAAAAGTTTCTTGATGACGCCTATTTTCTAGAGCGAAATGTGTAAGTGTAGAGAAAATCGTAAGGTAGTTGAGCAAAGTCGGATTTCGTCTGCATAAGAAGGAAGAAAAAAAAAGTGTTAACGAATTTCTTTGTCTGTTTTTCTCTTGGTTCATATTTCTTCGTACTAGTTCGACATCCATATCGTATCTTTTATGAATATACAAACGAAACATATTGGTGCTCACTGAAAAACCTTCGAAATCGGAGGTAGAATTTGACATATTGGGACGTTAGCCATTTATCAGGCGCTAGTTATAGAATAAAAAATATCTCCTGAACTGAAGCGATGAGAGGAAAATCAAGTCGGTATGATGAGAGCCCGGGCTTTTCGATGTCGTTGACTGGAAGAAATAGGATGCAGGACATTGAGTGAATGTGGAAAATATATTATCGAATGAGTTCAAAAAAAAAAGATTGACGGTGAATCTGGTCGGAATTTTCCTTCATAACCACCTATGGTAAAGATGTTCAACAGCTTTCGATTTGGTGAACATTTCCATGAAGTTCCATCAGACGGAGGGCATGCGATCGTCCCATGGTGGCTGACTAATGCCAATGAAAACTTCCAGTACATCGTTAGATTGACGATACCCTTAGATTGCTTAATTGCTATAGGCACTAGTGTTGAAATAGTTTTTTCTTACAATGGATGTGATTATCGGCTAGTTTGTTTTTACTATGGTGGGAATTTTTCAGTGTTCGCCAGGAAAGTTTTGACGCAATACATTATGTTGGCTCATAAGTGAAATCTAAATAGCACGACGTAACACCTGTCCGAAGATATGGACAAGGAGACAAAATGGTGGCGTGGTCATTGAAATACTTTGACATGGAATGATGAACAATGAAGAGGTTGAAAATTTTGCGAAGGACTATTTTTTAGACGTTGTTTAGTCCTTTCTAATACTCTGATTTCGCCCCTACGTCACTCAGAGAATATTGGTGATTAATCACAGAATGAATCAAATGTTCTTTAATCTAAGAGCGTTGACATCATGTGGCCTAGGCTATATAAATTCTAAACTAGACTTTCTGTCGAGACTTAGCTGGATTTGAACTGTTGTCCATTTGAGGTCACGTACTCGAAATGAGTTGGATCGCAAGCGATAACGTACTTCGTATGGAATCGAACCAAACCCACATTATATCTGTCGGTTTGGTCACGATGCCGATGATGATGACGAATGACCTGTCAGTGTCGCGTAGTGACAAAAGCCGTATTGTTTCCGCCACTGCCGTATGCATGTTTTGCTATCTTCTCCTCCTGACAAACATACTGATGAGCAGCATCGTCGACAAGAATTCAAAGTGAATAACGACTTCAGAGAGTCTCCAGTGAGAGAGGATGGGTCAGAGTGAGTGATAACGTGTGGCTGTTCTGAAACAAATCTCCAACCAGAGACGTGAATTCCGGAACCTCGGATGTCCAAACCGTTGCTCTGCTCTCCTCTCGTCTTTCTTGATGGCAGCGTTGGAGCAGCGCTTTCTATAAATTTAGCAGTTTTTATTCGTAAAAAGTGCTTCATATGGGTAAATATATGAAGCATAGTTATCAGGAGAAAAAATTCACATTTAAGTGGAGCTCTGAGGTGCATCACAAAACACGGAGGTATTTCAACTGGAATAAGCAAGGCTACAGTTTTAGTTCCCAGGATCGACTTTCTATTAACCTCGGCATTGGAATATGAATGTGTCGCTTTCTTGTTCAGCAATCGCGAGGTTTTTAAACAGCATACATTTACTTCCATAGAAACTACTTCTATGCTTCTATCTAAGAAACTGCTCCATACTTCCATACTTCCATAGCTGTTCTAAGCTTCCTCATTGGAAGTCACGAAAAAGCGGTGGGTTTTTTCAAGAAGTTGTTGATTATGTAATTACCGGAGAGTTCTTCGTCTTATTGTAAGTGTTATTGAAACGTTTGGCCTAGTAGATTGTATATCAGTATACCCTTCCAGGCTCTGAAGAAGGCGATACTGCCGAAACGTCAGCTAGCGCTACAGTTTTAATCAAAATGTAGAAGAGCATTTGGAGAGTTTAGTGGAAAAAAAGGTCCTACTTATACTTCCATAATACTGAGATGAATTTATCATTGGAGGACTCACCGACATTGTTGTGAGGCTTTGTTCGATGGTGAAAACAGGTGCAAGAATTGTTGAAGAAGAAACCTCATGAAAGATTCAAGAAAGTGGAACGTGTTAGAAGAAAGTAGAATTTCTTGAAGTCTCAGTCTCATAGACAGAGAGTTTGTCCTGGTGGCACTTCATCATTTCTTTCTCGCAAATTCTTCTTATTGATCAGCGACAAGTTAGCAGAGGTGAAGGAAAAGGCAAACAAGCGAGGGAGTGAAGAAACGTGCTTACCGCTTTCATTTTCATCACTTCGGTTGTTTTATTTCTCGAAAGTGATTTTCCCTTGTTACTTTGGAAATTTTTACCTATAGGACATACGCTGCTAATCACCTCGTGGGAGCCGTCTCAAAGACAATTGAATTCAATAACTGCCAGGCGAGACATGCAATCAGAGCCGAAGCCGACGAAGAAGAAGCCGTCTGTCAACGGCAGAAACAGAAACCGTCCGTCCGTCCCGCTGGATCTCCTCCAGCACTGCAACGATCGATAGCGTCGGCTCATCGTCAAATCCCTGAGGATCAACTTGGTGAGGTAGGAGTAGATGAATTAACATGAGCTTGCTTCATACATGGGTGGAAAACGCTCTGTTCGTAGATAGCGCCTATTAAGAACCTATAATTCTAGAAGTATAACAACAATGGAAGATTTCATTATTTCGCTTGAGCGAGTATTTCAGATATTCGTAGACTAATTAGTTAGAAAAAGTGAAATGGTAGAAGGTAACAAATATAACGGACTCATCATTAGTCCAGTTCTCGAACTACTGAAACACTATGCTTCTTAAAATAACAGATTTACTTAACATCAGCTAATATGTATTACACTATGGAATATAACATTATTTCGTTTCAAAACCAGAATGCATGCCATAGCCCGAGAGAATCTGCAACATTTTCTGTACGCCTACAAGGAGTCTCCAAAAGAGGTAAGCTCGTAAAACCACAAGGAAAGGGAATGCTTACCGTAATCCCAACTAGAAGAGAATAATAGCTGGAAGAAGGTAGAAAGTAGTAGCCTGCTAAGGTCATCTTACACTCTCGTGACTTAATATAATAACATTAGTACAGATCCATGTAACGTATTTACAGCACTTCAGTAGTTTTTTTTGTTGCAACAGGTTTGCATTTTCAAAAAAAAACACATACAGCTGTAGTCGGATATTCTCGCAAAAGAGTAAACATGTGCTGCGGTTTCTTTAAGCTCTGTGGTCGTCTTCACAGAGTACTACGGTAAGAGGGTTCAACGTTTCTCGTAGATGACAGGTAGTTGTGTGGTTTTCAGCAGGGTCTTCATCTTATACATGACGAGCGGAAGAGCCAAGACCATCGCAAAGCAAAAGACCGCCAGCGAGCATTTCGACATCTTCGTGCTGCTGTGGTAAGTGTTAAGCATATACATCATCCTGTTATTCTCTCCTCCTGCTGGCGCACATTCGCTTTTTCCGCGGATTTTTTGCTTTCGAGGTTAACTGACACTTATGCTGTGAAACCCATTCACGCCTACCATCACTTCGCAATAATGGACGACCGTTTATTTCTAGCGATTGTTAAAACTCATTAAGCGATCATAATCACTCTCATCCACTGCGACGTCTGGCCTGTTCAGCTTAATGGTTCATAGTAAAAATTATGCGATTAGAAAAGCTGATAAGCAAACTGGAGAGGGAAAAATTTATTCAGTTCCTAGGGTTCATAATGAGCAGAGTCACTATGTTCGGAACGCAGGGCTTGAAAAGCAAATATTACCTTCTGCATGAAAGGTGATAACATACCCTACTAGGAAGTAAGTTATTTGATCAAGAATTAAAGTAATTCAGATCGGATGGAACGCTGTAGACTCCCAATATTTGAGGTTTTACTGAAAGTTGGAAAGTTCTTGAAATTATCAGGCGGTAGCAATTCGTAAAATCTTGAACCTTTCCTCTGGAAACTGATTCAAATAGTCGTTTGGTAGTTATTAAAGAAAGCCACCTACTGTATAGCTAATGCTTTCAAATAACTGTATCTTAAGAGTCAGGAGAATAAATAGGCTTTACTTTGTGGTTTGCTTCAATAAATCAGCGACTAAGACGCAACATGGGCATCGAATCTCACTTCAACAACGAGACCACGGTACCGTGACCGATCGATAACCATCTTTTTCATTGGCGCCTTAACGATTTAAACCTGTCATGGAGCAACGCACAGCAGCAATGAAAACATGCCACACTTGATCCATCAGCGGCCAATAAATTTTGACGCCTTGCCGTCAAGGTCGATCCTATCTTAGAGTCGCTAAAAACGAGCTGAGTTTTAAAATCGTTGACAAGTGTTGAATTTACGAGTGAAGACTGTGAAAGATGAAAGCAAATTCGATTCTTTTACAACTCATTGCACACCAATGCGTCTAAGAACGTCTTATTGCATCAGAGAAAAACAGGTTTGCCAACGAACACAAACCGATATTGTTTTACTGTTTTTCATTGCGTCGAGGTTAAATGGCGACCAGATGAGCAAACGAACAGTGTGATGACGAATTTTGAAGCGCGTTTGAAGACAAAGAAGCGTTCGACTGCAAATTGCATGGGTGGAAATACTATATATGACAAAATCCCAACGTTGTTCCAGATGACACCCGCCGTAGATCAAAACGCCCGTGCTTGGAAGGAAAAAATTTCGAGTTTTGCTCAAAAAATCAACTCCGTTTTTAAAGTTAGGGCTTCTAAAATTGATTGATGAACATTTAAAACTGGCAGCAGATCTCTGTAATGAACAAAGACACTGCTGGAAGTTGCAACAACGCTGGTAATAACTCTACGTCTTCCTTCTATGATAGAAATTTTTCCTCGGTGTTCATCTGTGTTGTGCAAAGTGTGGTATATATATATATATATATATATATATACATATATACATATACATATATTTCTACATGAGCGGTCTTCCCGTCTATGCGGATTCCAGCACTTCTCACATTCGATTCGTTTCCTCGCATCCATTGTCCACAAAGATCTTCCAACTTTACGTGTGGCTTGGGTTGCTGCTTCAGGATTTTCATTTCATCTTGAATGTCGTAGAATGCTGGTCGAGCAATTTTCCCTGGAGTCCTAAGATAGCTGGGCTGGAGCGTTCCCAATTCGATTGTGTAAAGTGATTTCTTCCCAAAATTCGGCACCAATCTCCCAACCCTGGAGGTATGGGCGGAATCGAACTAGCACCATGCTCATAACGACGGGAATCACTATCACTATGTTATCCGCCTCCTATAATATATATATATATTGTTGAAGATACTTGTTAAAGTTTCTAGAATATTCGTTAAATCTTAGTTTAGTCCATCCCTTCTAGTTAATACTCAATATTAGTCATTTTTCTTGACTTAATGTTGTATTAATTCGGCAGATATTTTTAAATTGTACTCGGACATGGTCTAGCTTTTTTCGTCAACTGTCGACTACGACGGTAACGACGATAAGGCGGTCGACTTTCATCGCCCTATGGTGATGAATGCAACCGCGTTCCATTTGCGTAGTGTTCGGTTACGCGGTGACGCGTCGCGGCGCGCGGCGGCTTTGATATGCGGCGTGACGCACGCCGCTGATTGCACAGGTGCACTAATGATAGCGGACTTAATTGAGATAATTACCGTCGTGGGCATCGCTCAAAGTGTGTCCGTAAGAGTCGGGCACTGCACTGCTTGCTAACGCCTGTTGTTCAACACAAACTGGTCCCTCAGTTTAGTAAAAGCCCTCAAGTTGATAGTACGAATATGGGTTCTGCAGATCAAGACGTTTCGTAGATCATAAGGTGCTATAGTGAGACAAAGACTTTGCAAGCCTACCAAAATAGTCCTATTCCAACTCACGTCTAGCTAGCACAAGCTTGCATCGAGTTCTCGCAACATATTGGTTGCACTGAGTTTCGTTTGCCGATCGAGTAGGGAAGCCAAGTTTTCCATCCACAGTAGCGGACGAGAAGAAGAACCAGAGGGAATCTGTTCCTTAAGAATACTTAATCCACTAAATCATTGTTAGATTTAGCAGTCAAATTGGAATTGCTAAAATACACAGTGATTAACCGCGGTGTTAGCCATGCGATTCTTGGATTGAGTGATTGCCAACTACATAGCTTCTGTTGAAGGTGGCGGAGGTACTCGTCATTTCTTTACTATTCCTTCCCAATATGCCTTCTAAGAATCTCTTTTTGTTGTATTCATCTCTTTCACTTCGTTCTAGCATAAATTTACAGGTATGTGCTTAATTTTGGTCCCTCCGGAATTGGGTTCAATGGCCATGATACAAGGGGTAGCCTGCCTGTTTGTAATAATTCAAAAGGATTCTTTTAAATTTATTTCCTTATTTTTTATTTTTAAATTTTTAAACTTTAGTTTTTGTTAGTTACTGTAGATCATTTTATCCACTATGGGTAAACTATCTAATTTTAAATTCTAACTCTAGATATATTTGTAACAAAACTATCAAGTTTAAATACTTCGTCCCGAGTATTTTCAAGTTATATGAGGAGACGGCAGATGGTTGAAAGGGTGGGTGTTAGAATTGCTCAAAAGTTGAGCATTCGATCGGAATCCTATATCACGACATCCACTTTTGTGCGATTCACATTTAGGAGTTTCCATTGCTTTGTGGCTTCGATTACAGCTAAACGCTTTCTTGGTAACCGATTTGAGTTTATTTGAGTTCCAAACAACATGGTATTCGAATGTTTTTCCATTGTTGTGCATTGTTACGTGCGCACAAAACAGTCCGCATTTTTGCGTGAGGTGAATATTTACACAGATTGAATTTGACAAGCAGATGTGACCACCGAATTAACACGCAATGTCATTGTTAGCACGAACACACCACCCATTCCTTGGACGAGAAATCCTGTACAAATACCATTTGACCCGGTTATGGTACTCGACTAGGGCGGTGGTCCGTCACGTTGCTGGAGAGGATTATTAAGTTATGTGATGATGAACATTCAAAGAGATTGGAATTGAAATTCCAAAAACGAGAAGATGGGAAGTACAAATCAGCTTGCCGACTTCAATGATTGCTCCCACGTCTTTTGAATGCACACAAATATTCTAACGAAGGATTAGCGGAGGAAAACGGTGTTTCTTATACAACGCAGTTCATCCGCTTTAAAATCAGCAAAACGAAAATGCCGTAATTGACCATAGAAACTGGCTGATGGGCTGTGAAGAATCTAGGAAGAACACTCATTGAAAGTTGCAGATTTTTTGTCAACTCTTTGGCTGCTGGAAGACTCACTGTGGTTCTATTATGGTGCAATTAGCAATAAGCTGAGCTATAGCTTAAGATTGGTGCTTAATTGGATACGGATCCTATTGTTCTGGATATCCGTCCAAAGAGTCTCAATCTAAGAAATTTTTCGATAAAACCTGCTACGAAACCCACCTGAAAAGACACGGCAATGAGTTGTTTACTTCTGTGGTACTAATGGAGTAGATTTGAGATTTCATGAACGACAAGCAACTAAGTGAAAACTTTTTAGAATCTGAAGGTAGCGTTTGCTGTTCGGGCAAATGCCACCTATGACGGAACTCTCGAGGACGAGTCACCGATTCAGAGAAAGACCATATCATTCAAGAAGGGCGACTTTTTGCACATCTACAAAGTACGTCAGAATTTGTTTTGTTGAAAGATTTGGATGGGCTGAATCAGGGGAACTGTGGTGAATGAAAAGTGAAGTGGAAAAAGGGCTAATTTCGAAAATCTCAAAAATCACAATGTTTAGCTTTTTATCTGCTGCCTATTACTTTCTTTCCTAGCGGACTATTATGTAGAATCTTCTTCGTCACCCTATCGGGGTCATTAGTACAAAATTTCGAAGATATTAAATCCTAACAACATTCAAACTTTCAGAATAGTCATTTTCTTAAATATTTTGAGTTAAGGAGCTTATTTTAGATTTGTTATACTTACAGATACTAGAATGGTAGGAATTCCTTGCATATCGAAATCGATTCCAATGGTATTTGTGTTGACGAGGTGCTCCAGTTCAAACTTCTACCAGGGCTTAACATCAGCTCAGGTGTCTATGAAAGTGAATTACTGCTGATGGCGCAGTGCCTTGTACGCATTAAGCGCAATCGAATATGTAATGATCAGATGAACCATCGGTGGATTAGAGCAGAGCAAACATCTGCCTAATCAGCGATAAGTGTGCAGAGGCGATGACATGATGTAATGAACGATCAGAACAAAGAAAACTACTAATTAACCGTCTTCGCGGAGATCTTCGAGCTGGATAAGAGATTCGGAAGAAGTCGACTTGACGCTTCGTTTCCGCCCGGTTCGCTGCTTAACAGCCCTTATCATTATCGGCAATATGAATAGAAGGCTATTAAGAGTAAGCCGTCATCAAATGGTTACATTGAATAACACATTAATAGCTTTTAAACGGCTCCAGCTTGTCTATACAACAAGCTTTTTCCAGTCAAAATCTAGAATTTTGGTCGATGTGCTCGCAAATAACTTTTTTTTTAGGAGTTTACTCGTGTTTGTGTTGGATTATTTAGTTCCCAAGAAACAGGCTTCCGTTGAGCAGCTCAAAAAATAGATAAAAACAAGTATCGGAAACTCGATCAGAACCCTTTCAAAGGTTGATAACCATTTCAGGGGTCTGAAGATTTGTGTTCCAGTTTATGACAAACTCAGTTCAACATTGTTGAGTTTTGAAATAAGAATATAATAATAATAAATAAGAATAGTTACTGAGAATTAAATCTTGAAAGTAGACCGCGAAAAAGACAGAATGCTACTAGGATCAACGAAAGTCTGTTGATATCACAGTAACCTTCTCGATGGTGGATTAGAAAATACCAGAAAACGAATATTTGTAACCTGGGTCTAATTAAAAGGATTAGTTCTGTATCGTGCAATAGTTTTACGGCGAATTATTTTCGACTTCAGTCTATTGCATTGATGTCAAAACATAATTTCATTTATTGCCTATGGATGCTACTTATGTGAAGTTAGTGCTTGCAGCGCTACACATTCGATTGGTGGATTGGACGAGTTGTCGCGGCGAATACGACGATCGGCTTCATCCCAACTGCACGACGCCTCGCTCGGCTCATTGAACAACATGAAGAGGAGCCAGCTCTGCTGCCTGATAGGAACACCCTGGTGTGAGAAATCCTTAGTAACAATTCAGAATTCCTTTCACACATTAAGAAATGCTTAGATTAAGGTACTAGTTGAAAAGCGCTAGCTTCAATATACAAATATTCGAGAAACGGTTGCTAGAACATTACAATGCTGGTTAGATTCTGATGTGTACAATACACAGCTTTGGGCTGTAAGTTGTTCTACCATGAAGGGAGTGAACATTGCTGGATGATACAAAGAAATTTTTATTGTACTTACTGAGATATTTCCTGAACTTACTGAAAAATGCGAAGAGAACCAAAGAGAAAACAAACTTACCTGATTGTAAGAAGACTATATTTGATTTACCGGCTTGAAAACAAAAAACAATCTAGAACATAAGAGATTTTGTGGCATTTTTTAAACTAATTACCAAGCTCCATGTTGTCAAGAAATTTGTGTCCAACAACTGTTTGACTTTTAATACTATCCGCTTTTCATTTTGCTAAAAAGTGTAAAAGACAATAATGGTGAAGAAAACTCGTAAAGTAGTTCACTTCCAATGAGCTCTTCACGACGATAGAATGTCGATCTATTCACCCAGGGAGCATATTGTGTAAAGCTATAGCGTAATGGGTACTTAGAAAATGAGGAGAATGATCCTACTGCTGAATTCAAGACCAATTCCTTCCCACAGAGAAACAATCCCGCCAATCTCTTTGTTTAATTTTTTGACACCACCATTCGATCCAACAAAAACGCTTTCGTCTAAATGTTCGAAAGACCGGTGGCCGAAGAAGATCCAGAGCAGGACAATCAGATCATTTCATTTAACGGTCAACTTTCTCAATTTATGAAATTCTTTGAAAAATGGGAGATTGAACCTCTTTCTAACATTCTCATCCTTTATCACAGTACCGTAATGAGTACTATTTGAAATAGAAAGGTGAAGCTTTTTTTTCATCATTCCATCATGGTTCGGTGCAAGTTGGTTCATCTTTAATTATATGATATAGTATAGTAACATTACAATACAGAATATTACTACATTTTTTGAATATTAATGAGTCGGTGACGTCACCTTCAATAGTGGAGCACTTAAGTGTTCACATGACCCCGAACCCTTCCTTTGTGAGTGGCACATCTGCCGTTTCTTGAGCAATTGGCATCTCAACCGGTTAAATGACATGCGGTGTGCTCTAACCGACATTCAAATATAACCCCTTTAACTGAAAGGCATCCTGGTTTAATTTCAAAGCAATAAGCACTTATCGAAGTAAGATAAAAACAAAGGGTGCGTATATCACACTGGTCAGACGTGCTCTGCAATACAGATGTGGTCTTTGGTTCGACCCTCCGCCCAGTGCTGACCAGATCTTCCACCTCCCCGTGAGCAAAACTCTCTTCACGCGTATGCGACATATCTTTGCGAATCGCACGACTTCTGCACAGTTTTCGTCCTCCTGATACACATGCGAACTTCGTCCATGGAGCGGTTTATTTCATTCGTCAGAAGATCGGTGGAGCATGGGTGCTTTGTAATCTTCTGCCAATATTATGCATTCTGTTTACCTGGTTTATCCTTAAGGCATGTGCATTATTATTCTAGTTTTTTCGCTATCATGATCTGCTAGATACGCGGGTAGCACATTGAATAGATAGCTGAGGTGCAATGTACACACCGCCATTGTTACGACCCCGTGTTATGAATTAATCAAGCCTTTTCTGTGCTCAGCAAATTGCTACCATATAAATTGATAAATTGATTTTATCCTGCTAACGTTTCGACGCCTTCGTCTGCATCAGAACCGATGAGCCAAGTCAATGGCCCCCAGTGATACGTATTCACGAGGTGGCGTCTTCGCCGTTGCAGGAGCTTCTTCAGTGAACACCGCACGAAAAAGGCATGTTCAACCGGTAGTGCTCTTTTGTACAAGACGACTGTTGTTGATGTGACTATCTGTTGATGATAAATTGTTTTTCAATAGATAATCGACACTGCTCAGGCTGAAGACCACACTACTTATAATAGTTCCCAGGATCGACTTTCTATTAACCTCGGCATTGGAATATGGATGTGTCGTTTTCTTGTTCAGCAATCGCGAGGTTTTTAAACAGCATACATTTACTTCCATAGAAAAAACGCGATACAATACAACACTACTGACGTTTCGGCACTGCCGGCACTGCAATCTCCCTCTGATCCACAAGGACTGCGATTGCCCGTGGTGGTGAAGACTTGGAGCAGACTTTGGCCAGGCTGACTTCGGGATTCCAGGGAACCGCAATGGCTTAACCAGCAAATCTCCGAAGAATGGTGATTATGCTGGGGCCAGCAAAACCAGTGAGGACGTGCCGTTCAAGTATTAAGTAAGTAGGTAATCCACACTGCAGCAGTCGGTTTTGTGTTAGCTGGCACATGGCGAATAGCAAAACAATAGTTTTGAAACTGGCTCCCATTTAACCTCGGTAGTAAAATCCTAACTGAGTTTAAATTAAATTCCAATTTTTCTAATTCTAATTTAATTAATTTTAACTCGATTTCAATTTGATTTCATCTTTTCTTTCAATTTAGTCAATTCTAATTTAATATTAATTTAATTTTAGTTTCCCTAATTTTACAGCCGGGGTTGAATGACGGTCGGTTTCAAAACTACTGCTGCCATATTATCCAGATAGGATGAAAGCACAGACTTTATATAAGGTAAACTACCATAACTGATTGTACAGGCAAATTCAGCCACCTCTATGGTGCTTCGAGTGGCTTTGAATGTGGGGGAGATCCATCAAGGATTGATCGACATCAAACGCTTTATGCTTTACGCCTTAAAATGAAACATGATGTTCTTCGCTCTCTCATCTAAAAGACGTCGGCCACCGCACTCATACTACGTTGCCTTACTGCAGGGCAAACAATGAGTTAGGGATTTATCACCTGCGGGCGACTTTACTAGGAATTCGCTGACTTTGGAAAGGTCCAGAGTTTGGGAGGGTTGGCAGTTTGGCTTAAGCGAATAGCAATGTAGATAGTACATCGTTAAGCACATTACACTATTTGTTCATAACTTCATTAAAAATATCCCTTTTTTCATCATCCAAAAATTTGATAAGAAAGCAGTTGCGGCTGGCGTTTAAAAATTGAAAATGTCTTTATTAATTAACAATGTCTTCACGGACCAATGGTCAAATGAGCCCAACTTTTCGAAAAAAGTAAATATTGATGGCAAGCTTGGATAAAATCACGAGAAACATTGAAAATGAGGGAAGTACAACATCAAAAAATGCTGCAGCAGTGAAAGGAAGAAATTTTGTCTTAGCCTCACACGAATCCTTAGCTGATATTCGTCATTCTCATCAACATTTTATTATTAAACCATAATCAGCACACTTGCAGCTTGGTGGAAATCCTAGGGAGCCAAATTCCGAACTGCCAATGGACTTTCTATGCGACCTGGTTGTGATCGGTGTTGGTAGTAATCTTGGTATCGTCTGGCCTGATCGGTTACATTCACAATGATTTCATTTCAGTTACTTAGTATTCAACAGGAAGAATGACTGCAGTGTGCCAGTATTACAGTGATCCGCTAAGGATAGGGCATATTGGATATGCTCCGTTAGGAATGCTCTATGAAACAACTGCTATACGCCGTACGACGAACTTCTGTGGGGCTACAAGGAAATTGCAACCATCTACGCACACTGGGGAACGCTGTTTAGTTTACTGACGACCAAAGGCGGGTGCTTTGCGTGTGGGCATTCTCTAGGTCTTTTTAAACTGTTCCTTTTTTGTAAGAAAAAGGGGAGATAGGACACAAGCTGCATTAATTTTAGGCCACACATTACACTAGTTTAAACCTTGGAACGTATAGGTTGTTTTGTCATTAGTGAGCCGACGCAAAATTATTAATGTGGTCAAACAACAGCTAATATTTTGAAGTATTTCATCTCTTGTTAGCCAACAAAATCTTGCTGACATTGACATCCGAATGGTATTTTAACAAATGAAAAACGGCAACGGAGCAATGCCCGAGTACAATGACGATGATTTACCAAAAAATCTAAATTACGGAAACGATTCTCCTGACAAGGTCGTTGCTCGAACGTACTGTTTTTTAAGTAAGACATTCCAGTGTGAAACAGTCGGTGATTTGGGAGTACCCGAATCCGTACACTGTTGTACCGTCGACGCGACCGATCGTCCTTTTAGGTCCGTGCTACCAGTCGTCACGGCTTACACAGCTCATGCACGCAGCTGTCAGGTAGGTAACAGTTCCATCTTCACATGTATATTTGTTATCTTTGCCAGTTATTTACTGCTTCGAAAAAAAAAATTCCTAGTATTTCCTGCAGCATAGTGACGGGATCTGCTCATACTTTCTTGGATTGCTCAGTGACCCAAGACCGAGAAATCTACCCTCTCCGAAATATTTCCCATTCATTTCGCTTCCAATCCCTACTCATGAATCTGTTTCTATGGAATTTGCAAGTATCAATTCATAGTTTGTAAACTGCTGCCGGTTCGAAATATATTGTTGATGTCAGCCACTAATGCTTTCACCAGTTTTTGCTCTGCAGAATGTTTTGATCCTTCGCATCGCTGCTTTCGTTGATCTGTCAGTATTCCTCACAACATAGGAAAATCACGTGTCGTTTTCGGTGTATTCCTCTGTTCAGGGAAAGTCGGTTTCGAAATATTACTAGCTGATAGCTGATAATAGCTTTGTGCTAGCTGATAACAACCCCGACTTCTGCACGATGTGCGCAATGATGTATGTCCGGAAGAAAAACAAGTTTTTATCACTGGACATTATCATTATATCGACCATCGGCATCGTGTATAAAAGGGCATCACTGAGTAAGGATGCCTCATTCGAGGAGGTGGCTCACTGAAGAAGACCTAACTCGACACGAAGGCGAAGCTGCCACGTCGAGACGAACAACAAGCATGGACCATCGACTCGGATCATCGGCTCTGAGGAAGACGAAGACGTCGAAACGTTAACCGAAAATAGACATCATTAACCTCGTGTAAGCTCATCAAAGAAAGAATACATATCGATTAGTGATACCGAGGTTCAGGGAAAGTCGGTTCCGAAGTATTCCTCTGATTTTCTTCGTATTTTTGTTGAGCAAACGCGAGGTGTTACTATTCTTTGTTCACGATTAAGCTGACGTTTCGGCGAATCGTGAACAAAGAATAGTAACACCTCGCGTTTGCTCAACAAAAATACGAAGAAAATCACTTGATCAATGCCGAGGTTAATAGAAAGTCGGTCGTGGCAGTATTCCTCTGAATTTCACAAAAATTATTTGCGAAAATACTCCACGTATTCAAATTTAATGACATTTGTGCTTACTTCAAGAAGCGAGTAGCGTAGTGGTACAAATTTTGCCCAATAAACACATGGCCATAGCTCAACTCCGCTCCAGACGAAGCACACCTCTGAAGTCAGGAAATTAGTACCGCACTTGTCTGGGAGGAACTCCTTTTAAGAAGGCCGGCGAATAACTGTGGTGAGAGCCTGCGAACACCGTAGAAAAGCTAAGACAGGATTTCAGGGCGAATAAACTTAAGCAACATTCAACGACGTTTATTAAGAGCAAAATGCTTAACTCTTCCGAATCATGCAAATGAAAGAGGGGATCCGGAGCTCCAATGGGTCAACGATCAAAAATTAAAGA